TCCAAAAGTGGCTTACGTGATTTCAAGTGATGGTGAGGAATGCTATTAATGTCCCAATGGATGGGAAGATGTGGATTTTCCATAATCTTGTGGATTTTCTGAATGGTTGCAGCATTACAGTGAATGGATGGGAGAGCAGTGTATGACAGCACTGGCAGCCATGATTTTGGGATTGGCTTGAGGTTCCAATGATACACTGTATTACAGTGTTCAATTGGACATCAGAGAGTCAGATAGGGCTACTTCTGGTCCATGCCAGTGCACAATACTTGGCTACAGAGTACACAAGGACCATCGCATATATCCGTAATACCGCCACTACCTAGCTTGCACTTGCCAGTTCCTGAACCAGGTTGATCCTTGTCTTCATCTTCTACCTTCTTCAGAGAGTTGTGGAAGGTTAGTGTGCAACCCATCTTCATTCTGAGACTGGTCAGAGTGGGGTCATGTCACAGTGTTACGGCAGAAGGTCACTTTTTTGATGATTTCTCTATAGCAATTTGGCCAGATTCAATCCTGAGATTTGTTTTGACAGAATCCTGGAGATTTTTGATGCTAACATAGGAGATGTTGTGATGGTGGTTGAAGAAATTGGGAAGTGTTTTGTGGGATGCACAAAGCATGGTCATTCTTTGATTTTTGGAAGCAATGAGTCTGGTTGCAATTATTTTGCCAGTGAACAGAGTGGAAAGTTGCTTGTTATTTTACATTGGAAACCAGTTGCAGGTCCTCTGCAGCTATCAAGTCCATAAGATCTTCACCATTTGGCTTCATTTACTTTGTAGCCCCACATAGTTTGATGACTATTAAAGTCCAAGATATAGGGCTGAGATTGGCATGTTTGGGTGTGCTGGCTGGAGGAGGAATATTGAAGCTTTCACACAACCTATTCTGTTAAGTGAGAAATCATGACTAATGCCATCAAACTGGTGACCGAACATTGATCAATGGTCTCCGGGTCTTCAGAGCAACAGTTCAAGTCACTCTCCTCTTCAGGGCCAAGTAACACATCAGGTAGGTTCTGGAATAAAGATCCTGCAACTCAACATTGAGGGATTTTCCAGGTGACATCGACTGCTTGAAAATAATGGCCATCATATTATTAAATTTAACATCTCTGTGATGGGAAAAACTACACAAAAATGAAAAGGTTAGTTAAACAGAAATTAAAAGGTATAATGCCAAAAGTAAAATCCCTGCAAGCTGCGTGGAAACTTTAAAAAAAATCATAATAGAGGCTCAACTTAAATGTAGACTATAAGTTAAACACAGTAAGAGAATCAAAAATGAAATGATGGCAACTAAATTAGCTATTACCACTCAAGAGAGATCTTAGCTTCATTGTGGATAATTCTCTGAAAACATCCACTCAATGCAGTCAAAAAAGCAAATACTGTTAGGAATCCTTCAGAAAGGATTAGAGAAAGGAAAGAGAGTAAGACAGAGAATATCTTATTGCCTCTATAAAAATCCATGAAATACTAAATATTGCATGCAGATGTGATTGCCTCATATCAAGGAAGATGTCTTGGCTTTGGAGGGGTTCAGCAAAGAGAAACAGATTATTAGGGGGTTGGAACAGCTAGATGGAGCAGTCTTGAGAAAAATATTAATAGCTATACAAAAGAACCATTTCAGTTGTTGTTAGGGTTCTTGTATCAGCTGCTGATTATGCACAGGCAGTTTAACTTTCCATACACTTTTTTTGTTGTTCAGGAGATTTTATCCAATTGCTCAATACAAACAAGTATCTATTGGTGTCTTTCTTTTCACCTTATGGAAAATCAAGAAACTGGCAATAGTTTATCTGCTGTGCTTACTATACTGCATCTCTCATATACAATATTCAATTTTGCTTAAAGTTTTTAATCCAGAAAGAGAATCTGTCATGGGGGGTAATGTTTCTGAGGCTTGTAGATAATAAAGCCTCGACTACAGTTGTGATTTATTTTCTGGTGACTAGAGTAAAGCCTGTTTTTGTGTTAATAAGAAGTAAATCACTGAAGTGAAATACTGTACAGCTTGATATCATCTCATAGCTGTGTCCAGGCCAATAAACTGATAGTAGTTTGAGGAATTGCCGTTACATGTCAGTAGAAGGGAACAGAGGATCCTGACAGTGAGCCATCTACTAGCAGCTTGTGCTCTTTTTTTCTTTCCTTCCTTCTTAGATAAAAATCTTGAGAATTGATAACTTGCTTGATTTTTTTTTTCACTTGACTTGAATTTGACATGCTGCCAATGTCTGCTAGGCTATTTAAAAACTTAGATTTTTCAGGCAGATCTGAATTCTATATAAATCTGCTGATTTCACCTCTCCCAAGTAAAATAGTTGTTAGCTATGTTGTAGGACTGCTCTGGAAAAGAGTTCTAATATGGATAGTATTTCAAAGTGGGTCTACTCAATTGTGCATCCAGTGACACTAGAAATATTTAGAGTTCACACAGGCAATAGCTACAGTTCATTGAAAGCAGCCTGTACCTGGATTTCTCTTTTGAGGCAATATTATGTCCCATCATATTTCTAATGAGGATATAAAAATAACTTGTCAAATGGCCCACATTGAACTGTTTTCTAAAACAAATTTGAGATTTAAATGATATTATAGAAAAATGCTGTTGTTCGCCTCAACGGATTATTCTTTCGAAATCTGGCAGTCAGAAAATAAAACACTTATCAAGTAATGGAATCTTTCTTTATATAGAACAATGGTTCTCAACCTTTCCAGACTCTTGGTCTTTCCAGGTATCTGATTTGTATTGGTTACCCTAAGTTTCACCTCTATTAAAAATTAGTTGCTTAAAAAATCAGACATAAAAATATAGAAGTATTCCTAATAAAATGTAATACAGACACTGACATACTTACTGTTTCATTTTTACTGTATAATTATAACAATCAGTTGGAATATAAATATTATACAGGTTGAACTTTGCATATTCCAGGTATCTGATTTGTATTGGTTACCCTAAGTTTCACCTCTATTAAAAATTAGTTGCTTAAAAAATCAGACATAAAAATATAGAAGTATTCCTAATAAAATGTAATACAGACACTGACATACTTACTGTTTCATTTTTACTGTATAATTATAACAATCAGTTGGAATATAAATATTATACAGGTTGAACTTTGCATACCTGTGACTCTCTGATCTGGCAACATCCGTGGCTCAGCAGGGC